CTGCTGTTGCTGAGAAGAGGGGTTGGCTTGGATGATCTCCAGATTTCCTTTCCAAACTCAACTAATTGTGATTCTGCACCTGTTCCAGTTCACCAGGAGTGTTTGATGTTACACTGCTGTGCTGGGCTCCCAAATACCTACCAGGTGAAAAGCAAAGAACATTCTGACAAGCATCCTGCAAACGGATGTGCCACCCCCTGCTCCTCCAGCTCAGGGCTGATCATTTATTACTGAGAGACAGAGGACAGCTTTACATCTGTTCATGCAGACACAGAGACAGATTTTACAGCAGAGGTGTCCACGAGCTACAAGAATTAGGTGGAGACCAACAATTCATTTAATACAAGACAGACCCTGGGGCTGAACAGCTCCATTTCTCACCACAGCAATTCTGCTGCAGGCCCAGGGACTGAAGCAGACCCTGAAGAACCATGAACTGCCTGCCTGTTACTTGTGGCCAGCTATCAATAACAAAATGCCATCTGAGCTGACAGAAAAAGCTGCAGTGTTACAAATTGACCTGCAATTCCACTTCAGTTCTCCTCCTCCCATTTCTGTGACAGAATAGAACCAAATTCCCACTCAGCAGCAGGGTAATTAGATATTCAAAAAGCAAATAAATTTCACATGACAGTCCCCAGGAGAAAACTGATATACATGGAAAAATCATTTTAGTTCACTTAGGGCCATTCTGGTAACAACAGGCTTGGAGGGATGCAATTAGTACCCTGCATGCCAGCATATGAAAAGGTTTAATTTACCCTATCAAACCTAAAGAATAACTATAGAAATTAAAAGTGAAGTCACAAATCTACACAAGACTGCCACAGCTAGGAGTTTTTATAATGAGGAATTCTAAAGTGGTAATTCACATGTGTTGCATTCCAAATTCTGCTTATCCAGAAGGGGAGGCATTATTTTGGACCACCCTGCAAGAGCTGAGGTTCATCAAACCCATGGAGGTCAGTCTGTGGCTCTCTACCAGTTCTCTACCATGCAGGAAGAAGCAGCCAGTGCTGGGCAGGTTATTTCTTATTCTCCAACAACAGTTTGCTGAATTGGTGTCTCCCTTTTCAACATAACCTATTTTCTTCAGCACAGAAATCCCTACAAGTGTTCTGAACTGGGGAGAAAGTTTTTATTTCACTCTCAATCAAGTCTGTAGGGAAAAAAAGCATTGTAGCAGTCTTAATGCAATACTACCCTGACAGCAGAGACTACCAATAGAGAAAATAAAAACCAGCCCTGCAATATTCACTCTGCTGTGACCAATAGCACGTGATGGAAAGCAGCTCCTTCTAAACAAACCCAGCCTACCAAGGGAATCCCCACAGAGGAGGATTTAAGTGTCAGGAAGGAGCTGCTGGAGGTGACAATGTGGTCTGCAGCTCAAGGCAAAGGGGATGAAACCACCACAGCCACTGACCCCACTGACAGGCAGCCTTTCCCACAGCGCTCTGGCTGACATGGAATCCTGCACAAAATTTGGGTGAGGAAAGTCTCTAGCCTTTTTATAAATTTGGACCATTTGCATTATACTGCAGACATAAAAAAAAAAATCATTCTAGACAGAAGTTTTCCAGCACATTTTGACTTTCCAAGTACAAAGCAAAGGAAACATTTAAAAAACATGACTTGTAAAGCTTTTGCTGCTCCCTGTTAAGATTTCCTGTCATCGGGACAGCATTTTTTGGATGAAAAATGTTTATTGCTAAAGGTCACAGAGTTGTCTCTTTCAAACAAATTGAGAAATAAATGGCTGCTGACACTTCCAGATGATGATTCATCTGTCCAGGAGCTCCAATAATGCACAGCCACAGCTGCCCCTCAGGTTTGCTGCAGATCACAGCAGCCACCAACTAACCCAGAAATCTGTCTTCACTCTCTTGTCACTCTGTTAGCCAACTTCTCAGCCCTCTTCATAGACACACCAAAAATTCCTTACACTCAAGCTTAAAACCAGATGAAAAGCTATGAAAATAACATCTGTCAGGAAAAACACTGTTTGCAGTAGCCAGGTTTCCACACTTACTGTTTCTATTATTACCAAAATCCTCTTTTCTTCATGTGCAGCAAAGGTTCTCTGTGTATGAGATACAGGGATGAAAGAGGCTGATGGATCAGCACCAATAGCACCATTCCCAAAAACCAGTGAAACAGCAGAACAAGAGAGAAACATTCCAGCACCTCAAGGGCAGCTGGCAAACCCCAGCACATTTAACCCCAGCACAGGTCAGCACACAAGAAATGCTGGCAGGAGAGAGAATCTCCTTGCCAGGGAAGGTCAAGCTATAGAAGAATATTCTTTAAAGGGTTATTAAAGTTCTGGAGGTCTGTTTAGACAACCCTCGAGTGAAAAGCCAGCATGAGACACAGCAGAGATATCCAATGTTTTATCCTGTCAGACTAACATCTCCATAAAAAGCATTAATAATAGATTTTTATTGAGTGATTATCCTTTCCATCCTTGCCTTTTCACTGGAGTTTATGGTGACTATTTACTGATCTCTTCAGGAGAAGGAGATGACATTTACTGTTCCTACTGTGCTCCTCTGATCTCAGCCCTGGCCTCTACTGTCACTACATCCAAGTGATTCTGTAACTTTAAAAGATACTGCTACAAATTCTGGGGACTATTATTTCAAACAGAAGCACAGAATTCTTGAGGACAATACAGAATACTTTTCAGACAATGCAGAGGACCAATCATTTATGATTTGCAAAGAAAAATCAAGAAATTTCTCATTCTTTCTGTTGCTCTCCTCTCAGTTCTGTGACACAGCTGTGATGATCATCAGCTTGGATGTGGAGTTCTTATTATCTGCCCAATTTAATAATAAGAAACATAACCAGAGCAGTTGCCTAACAGTCCAAATCCAAGATTATGCTCTTTTCAAACATATAACATACAAGTAAAAGTTTTCCTGGAACTTCTGCTCCTTCATGCATTTCAGTTTGATGCATTAAACTATCAGTTCTCAGTTACTAGGTTGAAGTGTTTGCCATTTAGGTTTTTGGTGGCTTTTTTTTGTTTGTTTGGTTTTTTTTAAACAATGGATAAATTACTACCAGAAATTTTTAACTATCAGCCTTTCAAGTCAAGATCATGTGATTAGGATTTAAGAGCCCCATAAGACTAAGGATCTATTTAAACCCATTGAGGAATTTGCAAGCCAACCCCAGTGTGGTTAAGGAAGAAAAGTGCAGATACAGAACTGACAGCACTGAAGGAAAGATGTTTCATCCTAACCAGTAATTGTCCCAGTGTGCAGAAATCAACTGTGCTAGCAGGAAAATACTGGCTTTAAAAAAAATCCAAACAAGAAAAATCCCCCCAAAGAGAACCCCCACACCAGTTTTTATTAACACACTCTTTACATGAGTGTTATTCTCTTCCCTTGACAATTTAGCCTACTGTCCAGCACCTGCAATCTTTTATATCCATTTATAAATAGATGCTGCACACAAATGAATCCCAGCTACTTCTTGCAACCTTTGTATGAAAGATGGATGACCAAGGGAGAAAAGTTTTTGTCTTTTGTTTTTGGCAGGTGGAACAGAGAAGAGCAAGCTGGACAAACAGCACAGGTACAGATTGTGAGGAACAGGGGTGGAGCCAGGAGGGTTCTCTTTCACCTGGTTGAGGCACATCTAAAGAACAAGGAAAACAGATACACAGGAAACTAGATTTCATTACTTCCACTTCTCTGAAAACAAACCCATTTGTACAATTCACTTGTGGTTACAGCATGAGCTTGTCTAATTTGCTTCTAGATTGAGTAGCAATAAAAAGACCTTGGCAGGAAGGTGGGTTTTCCTTCTCCTCACCTTAGCCTGAAAATTCTCTAAAGAAATGCTTATTTCATGTAGCATTGATTTGTTCAATGCAGCATGCCTTGCTTGCAAACTAATGAGAGAAGAACTTCAGACCAAGTACTGCAGCTGTTGGGCAGTGCCTGTTTGGAAGCCAGTATAGGTCAGAACACGAAATATTCACAAGCTTGTTTCCAAGCTCATTTAGGAGCTTCCTAGATATCAGGTTTCTGGAGATGTATCCTTTAGGAGCTGTACAGAAAGCTCTTTTGCCTCACTTCAGTAATACTGGTGGCTTGAACTCTGCAGCTCGTAAACCTAAATAGTCTTAGGAACTTTAAAGGAGCAAACAGAGTTTCTAGATCTGATCATAAACCCTCAGAGTCACTGTGCCCTCTTCAAAATGAGTCAGAAGACTTCCCAGGAGATTTCTCCACCTATGCAGTGTCTACATGACAGGGGCATTGATTCCTCCTTCACTTGTCTTTTCCACCACAGCAAGGGTGCAAAACACAAGGCAAAAGGCAGCTTAATTTGCATCAGGCACCATTTATATGGCTCAGAGGAAAAGATCTCAACAAGTACACGCACACTTTGCTGCTGCAATGAGAAGTGGTTGGTCCATTCGTGGTGAATGTGTGGTGCCAGTGACTCCACACCTCTGCAGACAGCACTTCAACCCAATCCAAAGTGACTACTCTGGGCAGTGCAGTACAGAAACGTTGAGGGACGTTCCCAGCAAGGGAGAGAAAAGGTTTGGATTTTCAGGGGCACAGAATTCATGAGAAAGGCAAGCCAAATCATAGGCAATCCCATCTGGGATGGAAACCCCATCTGAGGGATGGAAACCTTTTGTCAAGGATTCTTTTACACGATCTGCAGCAAGAAAGAAAAAAAAAAAAGTAGAATGCAAGGAGTGAGCTATTCCAGGCTCTTGGGGTTTTTTTTGTTATTTCAAGAGTCAACATTTAACATTTTAAATTAAGGGCTACAAAGGCCCTTAGCTAAACCATCACACCCTGAACATGGAACATGAATTTTCTGCTTTCAAATGTCCCAGAGGAAGATTGCCCTGAGCTCTGCTGCTGGCAAGTAAAAAACCTCAGGTGATCATACGCATATTTGCAAGTGTGGTGATCCCTTAGGCAGGGAAGGCTGGTGGGGAAGCCCTGGGGAAAGCCCCCTACCTCTGTCACTGAAGTCATCCACCAGCACGACCTCTGCCACCAGCTCGGGCGGGGAGCGGTTCAGGACGCTGTGCACCGTCCGCAGCAGGGAGGACCAGCCTTCGTTGTGGAACGGGATGATCACACTGGTGTTTGGGAGCTTCTCCAGGTACAGCTTGTTCTTGCAGCTGGGCACAGACAGAGCAAGTCAAAAGGTGCTGCCAGAACACACCAGGCACACCAAAAAACACCCAAAACACACCAGCATTTCTGTATTAATTACCAGCAAGCAACTTAGTTCGTTCTTTACTCCTCAAAATGATGCAGAGTGCATTGATTTTCTTACTTTTGAAATAGGGGTAATGAACTCTTGCCTTGTAGGGCAGTTTCATTAATAAAATTCTGCAGTATGAAGTGCAGTGTTTCCTTTCCTGCAGGTGTGGCCATAAGTGGACTTTACACCTGGTTAAACAGGTAACCTCTGAGGCCACACAGCGACCCAATGTAGTTAAAAAAACACCCAGCAGCTCTTCAGTAGTAGTCTATTCCATCTCTGGAGCCCCCTGTGTCCAGAACAAACCAGTGCTGGCTGTGTGAATGGAGGTGTGTGCAGCGTACGATGACAGTGCCAGCAGGACAAGCTGCCCTGTGCCCAGGAGCAGGGCAGGGAGGTCCCACGCTGCTCCCTGTCCCTTGCACAGCCCCCAGGCTGCTGTGCCCTGCCAGGCCCTGGGAGGCTGTCACTCTCTGCACAATTCCATGCACACAGGCACTCATTCCATGCCCTGGCCCCCGGAAGGGCAGACAGGAATGAAAGCAGCTCTGGCAGTGGCAGCTTTTTCCTGGTACCTTTCCCAGGGCATGGAGAAGGATGTACCTATGTTATACAAGCTCAATACATCTGTGCCTACAGGAAGTTACTCTGGTGCCTGTGTGAGAGGACAGTAACTTATTCTGGGTGTAATGAATTGTCCTGGGGTGCTGCCAAGAGCCTGCAGGCTGTGGCTGCAATGCACAGATGCAAGATGCAAACTGAAGCTGCAGGGACTGCTTTCATCCAGCCCTTGGCATTGCCACCCTAACCTTCTTCCAACAGCTACTAGCTACAGCTCTGTTCCAGCATGAACCAAGAGCCCTTGAATTGTTTCTAACTCTTCTTAAACTGGAATCCTCTAATTTTCTGACTAACTTTAACAAGTGGAAAACTTTAGCTATTAAGTTTAACCATTAAGTGTGGAGAGAAATTGCTTCCCTCCAGCTACTGTATCTACAATTGCTTTACAAGTCCTGCAAAATTAGTATTTAATATTAAAAACCCTAGAGGCGCTTAAAGGAAATGTTATCAGGGGAAGACATGACTGTTGAAACAAACAATTGTATGTGTGCACCAGGCAGAGCCAGTACATGCTGTGCCCCATCTCCCCGAGTCCCACAATTAACAGAAAGCAGAGGTGACACATTGTTTGGTACATTAAAGTCCACACAAACCACCTCACACATCAGCTGCCTCTCTGCCCTTCCCCACCCAGGGCAGCTGCTGGGGACAAGCCCAGCTGTGGCCTCAAAGCTTAGGGCAAGGCAGACAGTGCATTTTTCCCCAGGATACTCTTTATGAACTCGTAACTTTATGGCTAGGTCTCAGCCTAACTTTGTTATAAACTACGCTCATCAACCTCTCCAGTAAGACAAACCATACCATTTCATGTATATCATTTTTAATGGGCACAGAGAATGCAAGCAGACCTTTCCAGTTGTGAATTCCTTCTCTGCACACCCCCACTATGGTAACCCTGCTCCCTGTCCTGCTAATCCCAGCGCCCATTGGGCACATGCTGTGCATCCACTGCTCGAGGCCCCCACAATTACAGTTTGCTGTGCTGGGGGAAAGGATTTGTCAAGCAACAAGCAAACCACTGCAGCAGCACCATTAATCACAGATTAAGTGACTGGTGTCCCAGACACTTCACTTATTAACTTTACCTGGGGCTGGAGTTACAAGTTTCATATTTTACAGAAGTTTAAATATCAGAATTAGCAACACTGAGTTGCAATCTCAGGAAACACTGGAGCATGTGAGGCAACACATTAAACCCTCAGACAACAAAATACTGGCATTATGTGATGTTTAAGTTCCCAGAGCCCAAGGCAGACCCTGTAAATGGAGGCCAGGTAGAATTTAGATTAGTAAACTCAAACTGTATTTCCTAGAATTTGAGGATGGGCTGATCCACAGACATCTTTAGTTACCGGATTTATCTCTATGTTTAAACATTTCAGCTGCATGCCTAAATTATTTATGGTGTTACACTCACTACTATTTTTTGATGTGTTTATACTGAGAAAGGTTGTCAAGCCAATGTATTTGATTAGTTTGCTGTGACAGCTGAAGAGGTAATATCTCAATTGTGCAGTTAGCAAATTATAAAACCTGACTTCTGGAACTTGTAACTTGTGAATAAAGTAGATGTTGAATTCAAATTTACTAAACTGTGATAAATACAGCTTTACACAAAAGAATCTCAGATTCAAATGTCTAACAATGCTTTCAGATTAAGAACCTCACAAACAGTATTTAAAAACCTCTCAGCTTTCTATAAACAAGGGCTAAGTCCTAAGTGATGCACCTTTGCATGAGAAAAACTTCTGGCTTGACCAAAATCCAGTTCAACAGCATCTTACAGCATAATGTCCAAAACCAGATGAACCCTAAAGTCAGCATTCCACTGGAACTCATTTCCACCTGTAAATCCTGGTAAGGCTGCTTTTATCAGGAAGATATCCACAAAAGTAATTCCATAAACCTGGTAAAACTCTTCACACATAGCTGAGTGAAGCTACTCACATCTTTTTCTGCTCCTGAGCATACCACAGTCATTTCCAGTTAGTGACCAACATAAGAAGTGGAACCTCTGGGTTACATTAAAGATTTCTTCTGAGCAGGGTTGCAAGTTTAAATCTTTTGAAATCAAAAAATGATTTTTTCCCCCAGATTTTACCTCTTCTATTTCCCACTGAGATTACTGTACACCATCCTTTATTAAGGAAATACCAGGACCCAGCTGTGCAAGGATTGTATTTTATAAACAAAGGTACAGGAGTCCATAATAAAAAAAGAACACATTTCTGTAGAGGTGGTAATTTAGGGCTTGCAAACCTTCACTCCTAGAAATGCAAACTGTATACTCACTTTGGATGCCTGATGTCTGGAAGGGAACGATTCAGAGAAATTTTATCACTCACAAAGATATTAAAGCCATTTTCCCTGTATGCCTGGTCCACTCGCTCTGCATCAGTCATTGGGTAAGGTTTTCCCTGTTCTCCATTTCCTGTGGATAGACAGAAAGTAAATACAGATCATTGCTGCTAATTAGTGCTTAACGGGCCAGAAACTAATCCATATAGCAGAAAAAAGAGCATCTTATAGTCCTTTGAACATTCCTTTATGAGTTTTGTGCTCTGTGTCATTTAGCACCAGGTCAACCACATCAATTTAACAATTTTATCTGATAAGCAGTTTTGCTGCAAACCACTCAGCTGTGCAAATCAAAGGTAAAAATCTTCCTCCTAACACCAGAAACAGATGAAAGGGTTTTGGCAATGCTGTGGAAGATCTCCAGAATGCCTTTTGTTGCACAGTGGGAAGAATCAATGTGGTTTGAATATCTCAGCACTGTTGGAATTCTCAGCACAGATGGATTTGTGCTCTCGCACTGAAGGGCAGAGCCCTTGCAAACACATCAGTGTAAAGCTGTGACATTCAAAATAGGCCTTATTTGCAATGCAAGACAAACCCCAGAATTATGGAATGGACTTGCATGAATGTTATAGTCCATCCAGAACATTTTTCTTATTCTTCCTTTCTGGATTTTCCATTTTTGGGAGAGGTACATGCACAGTTTTTTGAGGGAGGGGGTAAGTTTTTTAAAAATCAATCTCCACCTGTCAAAAACACCAAGATTTACATGATACATTTGCACCTCAAAATAGTTATTGTGGAGTTGAGGAAAACGGAATTTAACTTTGCGGGATTTATCTGTGTGGGATTAACACAGTTAAAAGATTAAGAGATGAACTGGTTTTAATGCTGCATCATGTCAAGAACATCACCTTGACCCTAAAGTTGAACATACTGTTCTACACTCAGCCTACTAAATAAAATCAAAGTTACAATCTATATTAAAACATTTTTATAGCAATCTTACATACCTACACGCTCAGAGTCCCTCCTTATGGCTTCTTTGTTATGCCAGTCCTTTTTCCTTTGTCCATCAGCAAAGTAAGGGTCTTTCTTTTGCCTCACATATGGTGCCTTTTAAACAAAAAATTGGATATATAATAAATACACAACAAATGAAACCTTTCCTCAGCAGCCTCCCCTTCCTGTAAGAGGAAATTAAACATCTCCCTTAAGGTAAGATCATCACAAGTAAATGGCTTTTAGCCTGAAAGGGGTGAGGGAGGAAGTGAGTTCTGCTTGTTTCAGAACTTTATCTGAGTCTGTTAAGTGATATTTTTCCAGGGCACCATCACGTATGCAGAACATTATTTCTTAATCAGAGAATCTATTAAAAACTCCCATTTTCATTTTGAAAACATCCAATACATCTTACAGCCTTTTTGTTAATTAAATAGGATGTACTGGAAGACCTACTGCAGGATCATTATTAATGAGACACTACCACACCTGAATAAAATCAAAATAAGATTTAAAAGGTCATTTATTAAGACTCTTGCTGCTGAACCCAATTAGAGATTCTATTTCATTATGTTGTTCCTGAAATTCAAGTCATGGGTGCTTTGAAAACAAGTCAGCAAATGAAAATCCCCAGTAATCCAATGTCTCCAGCTCAGCTCTAAATGCACAGGATGGAGACTCACATTTCTGAAGGAAAGAGGAGTCATGAGGGGCTGCAAAAGCCTTATTGATTCACATCATGCAGGAGAAGGCAAGTGAAGCCCCAGAGCAGCTGAGCTGGTAAAAAACCACACACTCCTGTCATGAAAAGGCTCACCTGAACTCACCAAACATAAATATCAAACTAATTTGTTTAACCTGCCTCGTGGTTTTCCAGCTGTCCTTAAACAGCACCTGCAAATTCCTGCCTGGTGATAATGCCACCCCTTCTAATCATTCCCACTAAACAAACCACACTAGAGCACACTACCATCCTGTGAAATTTTTACCTCTGTTTTACAAGAACAATTCTTTGCCAGGCCAGCTCACTGACCAGTCTCCTCCTCTGCCAGGAAAAGTCCTGGAAAGCTCTCACAGAGCAGAGCACCTCTTTGCCAGGAGAGTTTGCCAACTTTCTGAGCCCTAGCCTTCTGCATAAGTATCATAATGGGCACAGGAACTACTGGCAGGTCTGAAATCTCTGTATTTTTAGACCTTTTTTGTCTCTTGTTTATAGTGCTCTGGACTGAATGCACACACCAGGAGAATCTGACAATGCCACTGCTCCTCCTGCCATTTGCTGGGATTAAACCTAAGAAAATCCCTTAAAAGCAGTTGCTCTGGAAACCCCACCCACCACTGCAGAGGAAAGCATGGCCAGAGTGTCCAGGGACTAGATCCAGAAAGAAGAATACACAGTGCAGCTCTGAACCTCACATCACCCACTGGGCTTGTGGGAGCCCAGCACCCCAAGCCAAACCCATGCACAGTGAGCAGGGAATTGAGGCAACATGGAGAAAACCAGGAAAACTCAGACCTACCAGCAAACAGACATCCAATCTGTCTAACACAGCATTACTAAGGGGGCTTAAATCTCCTCTCTCTCTGGGACTTGGGCAACTTAAAACTAGAATTGCAGAAGCACCTCCCTTCCCTCTGAAAACATCCCTTGGAAACACTGGTCCGTTGCTGCAGGTACCCATGGGGACTGCTCCCTGTGCTGGTTTTGGCTGGGGTAGAGTTAATTTTCTTCACAGGAGCTGGTATGGGGCTGTGACTTGGCTTTGAGCTGGAAAGTGTTGATAAAACAGGGATGTTTTGCTGCTGGGCAGAGTCAATGCTTTTTGGATTGCCCTCAGAGAGGAAGGTGCATGGGAAGCTGGGAGGGGACACAGCCAGGACAGCTGACCCCAGGGACATCCCAGACCATGTGGTGTCATGCTCAGTACATAAAGCTGGGGAAGGAGAAGGAAGCAGGATTATTTTTGAGTGATGACATTTCTCTTCCCTGCTTTCCTGGAGAAGGCTGAACACCTGCCTGCCCTTGGTAAGCCGGGAATGGATTCCCTGGCTTGTTTTGCTTTGGGGGGGGTTTTGCTTTACTTTTTAAACTCTTTCTCTCAACCCATGAGTTTCTCACTTCTAACTCTGCCAGTTCTCACCCCCACCCCACGGCAGGGGTGAGCTGCCAGCTGGGACACAACCAGGACACATTCCTCCTGAAACACACTGAAAGGCACCAACGGGATGGATCTGGAGCTGTCCTCCATCCACAACAGGGAGACGGGAGAGAAATTTGAAATGCACCCCAAAGGATTGACACCAACATCTCCAGACCCCTCTGAGGGAAACCACAGCACTGGGCTGGTTCAGGAGGGGCATCTCTCACCATTACACAGCTGTCCCACCACACTGCAGCCTAAAAACCATTAAAAAGCACTTGTGCCATCCCTGCTCAGCGTGTGCAGCCCCAGGCTCTGGGCTGGGCTGATCCTTGTCTTTGTGAACTCAGTGTAGGATAATGTGTACAGGGAAGTAAATTTTCTGCACAGCTTCAAGCCGTTCTTCAGAGGGGTCAGCAATGTGCATGTAAACATCCTCAGAGCAAGCAACAACCTAATGCAAGCAATTTAAACCCTGAGACAGAGGGAAAGCAGGCAGCAGCACACCATCCTCCAGGGCTGTTAAAACAAAGGAAAACAAAAATAGAAAAAAAACTCAGAGACTGCCACTGCATTACCCACTGCACCAACCAGACACATGGACAGTAGGAAGTCAAGCACACTGATGTATTTCTCTCAGTCACAGATAAATTTACACATAAAAGCATCTGTGAACTGGGATAAGCTAACCCTGTCAGGGCCACACATGTCAGTAATTTGTAAACTTTAAATTAAGCAAGAGGGAAAACTATGAAGCACACACATCAGTTATTCAGACCTCTCTGAACTGCAGTGTGGGACTTGAGAGGTGCACAGAGTGAGAGTTATTGATCCTGAAGTCCTGGGAACAGGCTCTGCACAGCTCTCAGTCTGGAGACGTACAAGAATCAACACTTCTTCATGTTGGCACTGACAAAATGAAACGAGGACTGGGCAGGGTGAGTCATTATCAGCCCCTCTGCCTGCACTGCTCATGGTGTTTCTGCCCTGTACAGCTGACACCAAACTGTCCTATTCACACAGGACAAGCACAACATGAACCTCTGTTGGATCAACATAAACATCCAAGTGGCTTTTAGAACCCTGAAGGATTCACAGAGTTCCAGGTCATGGCAGATATGCTGCATTCTGGAGCTTTTTTTGGTCTTTGGCAGAGTTCATCCAGCACTGGAGTCCTCCATTACATTTAATTCAGCTTGGGTAAATGTTAAGAGGTTAGAATATTTCTTACTGTATCCCTTGCAAGCAAACATACAATGCTTACACTGGTTTTGCAGGTCGCTGTTAAAACACCATAACTGAAAAGTCTGATGTGAGTCACTGACAAGTTCTGTCAACAGTGTCTAAACATTAATTTTGAAGTGACTTTCAGTGCTAGAAAAGGAATATCAGTGTCTGTGCCTTGGTGACCTTGCCAGCCCTCACCATCCACAGCGCCCTGGAGGGAAGGTGTAGCTGCAACAGCCTGATTAGTGTTGTATTTTGGGTTAAAAACCACACTTTCAACACCAAGCTAATTTCAGCAGACCACCAAAAAACATCAGTGTGAACCATAAAACATTTGCTTTCCCCCTCCTCGACTGCAGTTCTTATCTCATGCCATCACTATCAGCAGAGCTGTGTGTAAGGTTACGGCACGATGCCACCAGGGGCAGAGGAAGGATGTGCACATATGTCCCCACAGTCCCTTGCACTGGGAAAATGGGCAGGTTGCTGACATTGATGTGATTTGGAAGCTCTTTTCCTTCTTTCTTGCTTCCCCTCCTCTTCTTTGTAAAAGATGTCTGAGGCTCTAGAAATCCAGACACAGCATACAGGGACCAGAATGTTGCTTTTTTTAGTGGTTTCCTTCAGGGATGCTGCATGGGATTTGACTCAATTATGCAAATCACATAACTTGATGCTACTCCTTCAACAAATGCTCTAGACTGTGGTATCAGAGCAATCTGCAAAACAGCGAGTTTCCTAGGAATGACTTCTTCTTTAACTCTTAAACAAGCATCTCATTTATGGGGAGTTATGTCATACGTGTAATGCTGTATTTAATCTCAATTTCCACTCTCATCCTAATTTCTCATTAATCTAACTGCAGAGCAGGACGTAGAACGTTCTTGTCCAAACCCTCTACCATTATTCCCCCTTATGTGCATTTTAACTGTGGAATGCAGTGACCATTGTTTGAACATTTGAGCTGTCAATTCTGCATGGTTAGGGTAAATTCACATTATGGATGTGGATTTCTATCCCTACAAAAGAGGGATAGAAATCACACTTTTGCTCTGTGTTAGCTTCCCATTTTGCAAAAATACAGCTGCTTTTTAAAATGGTCACTTGTAAATAACACGTAAAAAACAGATTTCAAAGTGTGAAGGTTTCATTATGATCATCTAGTCAGGCTATGTAAGTGCACCAGCCATTGAATTCCATCCAGTGACTCCTCCAACAAGCCCATAAGTCCTATTTCAGCTCAAGCACATTTTCTTTCCCTTAAGAACTGAAAGTTGTTTACCACTAAGGAGTGATTACTTCTCCAGCAACATCTTAAACTGTTCTCCTGCCTGTTTCCAGCCTTCATTTTTTGAAAAACTGAAAATGAACTAAAGTAGAAAGGCATATTAAGCAATACATTGAAAATGGATTTAGACAGATTGCTGTAAATAAGCCCCTTCTGTTGTCTACCACACTGTTACTTAACACGCCGCCAAAGCAATTGATCAGCGTTCAAACGCCAAATGCACAAAAACAGAATTTTAATTTTTTGTTTAATCACTATTTAGTGTGCCTGGCTGCAGCCAAAATAAAGGAGAAAAAAAAAAAAAAAAGAAGTGCAGATGGAGATATAAGCCAAGAGTTTTCTACACATGGGGATTTGCTGAAGCATATATGTTAACCATAATGCTGTACAGATCTCAAACCCTCTTCAAACATTTGTTTTGCTGATTTATTATTTTCTTTCAAATCAAGGAGCCATAA